TCAAGCCATGGACCTTGTTCCCTGTGATATCTTGCACTGCGAATACAGAAGAGAGCCACATCTCTGATACGTGTTTACATCAGAATCAGAATTAGAATCAGAATGAGTTTTATTCTCCAAGTGTGTGCAAACATACAAGGAATTTGTTGTGTTTTTTTTAGGAGCTCTTGGTACAAACATACATACATATATGGCACTGAGAACAAAAGAACATTTAAAAATTAAGGGAAAAAATAAAGAAATAATAATAACCAAATAAATAATAATAATGTGGTATGCATCTGGAACAGAAGATTTATGTACAGATTTCTGCATTATTTACTGTATATACTGTATAAATAAAAATATACATATGTATTTACATAATACTTGAGACAGAGGCAATAATGAGTTATTAAGATGTGTAAGTAACTAGTTGTTCAGTAGAACGGTATTGCAATTGTAAATTGTAAATCAGTTATTGTAAATGCGGTTGCCACTACTTAAATTTTTCGGGAGTTAATTAGAATGTGCTTTCTGTAAATTACTGAACTGTATGTGTACAGAACAGGTTTAAGCTCTAATACTGACAATTGCATTTAGCTGCAGTGTGTACAGTAAGTGGCCAATGGACAACAATATAAATTTTCAACAACATATCTACTGTTTTATAATTCAAAACCATTAATTTTTTTCAAAAACATTTCACTTGGAAAAAAGGTGCTTGATAAAGGTCTGTCTTTAAAATGATTGCTGGTTTGATGTTTAGTTGTATAATGTAGGAGTGTCACTAGACCCTACCTGAATGTTTTTCCCCCATAGCAATCTTATTTTGCAGCTATTCTTATTGCATCTTTTTGTTCCTTCTTTTTTATGTGTGCACTGCAGCACAATGTCACAATGTGCCACGCAATTGCATTAACATGGCATTATTCTATTTTTTGATGCATTAGGACAGATAAATTGCTTTTTTGTTGAATGTTACACATGAAGTACTTTTTCCCCTAAAAGTGGGCTGTTACCATATACTACTGAATGTGCTGAACAACATTAGTGAATGCCTATTCTGTTCACAGTACTTTTTTTAGCAACTTTATGACAACTTTTGTTTTGTAAAGCATGCGGTTGCTTCAAAATATGTGTTTGAGGCAAGACTGTGTGTAACTTCCTGTTGTAGAACAAAACATGATAGTCTCAAAGTCATGGTAACCACAGACCTTATTTTAGTTATAAATCAAGAACGACTATGCTAAAATCCCAAAAGGGATTCCCAAATTCCTGAGGGAACACATGTCTTGAAAATGCTAATTCTCTTCCAGGTTTTAGGGCTATAAACTGAACCGCTCTGTATAGCCTAAATATTTCGTTCAAAATGTAGTGCATTCAGATTCAGTCTTAAAAGGATAGATCTCCCAAAAAATCAACCAACCAACCAACCAACCAACCAACCAACCACCCAACCCAACCCCACCAACAAACCAACCAACCAACCAATCAGTCAAACAAAATAAAATAAAATGAAATTCATCATTTACACACCCTCATGTTGTTCCACACCTGTTTTATATTATTTATTCTGTGGAGCACAAATGGAGTAATTTTGAGAAGTTTTTCAGTACTTTTTGTCTATAATGGAAGTCAATGGTAACCAAAACTGTTCAGTTACCAACATTCTTCAAATATTTTGTTTGTATTCAGCAGATGAAAGAAAGTCATACAGTTTTGGAACGATATGAGTGAGTAAATGATGATGTGAGATCCTTTAATGCATTCAGTTCTTCTTAAATATGTGTAGCAGTGTTTTAGAAATCACACAGAAGAACTGTTTTAATTAGGTAAATTCATTAAATATATGAAACAAGACAGTGACCACATTAACCGCTTCCAATTTATGTGAAAAGAGATGATAAAAATGTAAAAAGACACTTAATGAGTGTAACTGAAAAGCAGTTCTATAATTAAAATGAGTTGTATAATTGTATTTTTTTTACTTTATTTTAATGTAAAATGTTTTTGTTCAGAACTTTCCTGTTAAGGCCTCTGATGTTCCTTTTTTTTTACACCAATATTAGTTATTAAAGCAAAATACTTTTAATTTATGCTTTATTAACTCCAGAAGACCATATGTTATGCTCAATAGTGAATAATTAGAGAATAATGATTAAAATAAATAAAAATGTCAAATGTACCAGCCTATTTTGAGCAAATATAACAGATTTTAAAAAGGTTCAGAGCTTAATTTACATGGAATAATTTAGCTGAGTCACAGTATATCTCTGTAGAAAATGTTGGCAGGTCTAGTCGCGCTCCTGATTCAAATCAATGGCATTCATACATTTTTAAGTGTCCCAATACTTTTTGAGGGCACAGTATTAAAGTACTGCCACATTTTTTAAATGTATCACAAGGGCAGTTGTTTGACATGTCATCCAGGGCTTCAAGAATGTAACACTGTATAGAAGAATATCAATCCAGCCTAGTCACACCACATTCATATGCACTGATCTGCCGAGACTCCATCTTGAAATCAATATCCACCACTAGCTGTTGGACTGAGAAATAATATATTAGCAATTGAAATTCATAGATCTTGTGCGTGAACTTTTTCCACTTTCCAGAGAACTCAAAATGTTGCCCAATACTGCCTGATTGGGAATAGATGCAGTGATTGACAGCTCATGACAATGTTTAGAACAGCAGCAGAATCACCTTCTACTTCACCTTTGCTGGACAGAGAGAATCAAATATCACATACTGAGAGTGAAAGTCAAGAATTCATTAAAGAACTTGGACAATAACAAATCCAAAACAATAAAAAATTATCATTATTTTTGCTTCTCTTAGATGATCTCATGTGTATAAAGCTAAGAAATAATCTGAGTTTATAGATTTGTGTCACACACATGTTGCTCTGCCTCATCGTGGCTATAATCAAAACATGCCATGTAATACGTGTTTAAAATTATCTGTTTCACATCCTATTTATACAGTATGTACTGCATGAATATTCAGTAAGCTACTGTTTCGCTCCATTGTGTTCACTCCAGATGTGCATTGCTTTGTTCAGCATATATAAAACCATCTGTTCTTTTTGTTCTTGCTCTTTTTGTTCATGGCTCTCGTGTGTATTTCATTTGTATCTTGTGATTTGTTCCCTTGTTCACTGAATATCTGCCTGTGTGTTTTGATTATGGTATTGGATTACCTTCATTACTCTGATGGATTCTGATTCCAGCATTATGAACATGGACTAAAACACTGTACTTGGATCCTTCAGACTGATTACATCTTGTATTGTTTCTCGGGCATTGAAAAACGGGCCAGTGAGCGAGAGCAGCCAGAGAAAACCTGAATAATTATGAGCCCCAGAGAAATGCTTGACCTTTGATTCTTGACACACCAAATATTCAGGGTATAATTAGGAGATAAAAAATTTCAGTGCAGCAACCATGTCATCTTAATCCCAAATGGCCATCATAAATTATTCTCTCTTAATGATTAAAAAATATTAAAAACACATTTTTTTCATCATCTGATTATGATGCAAATACTATTTCAAATGACACAAAATAAAGACTCCATATTCATCCTTATTTGCAAATGTCAGACATCTTTATTATTTTACATATTTGAGCGTAGAGTTCAACTATTTTTAACTGGATAAATATTTACTCCTGAAGGTAAAACACTCCAGCTGTATTAATGTAAAGGTATTTGTTTGCGTACCGGCTATAAGACAAAAGGCTTTATATCCACAGTGGAGAAGATCCATATTTACACATTCTCAGGCTGCAGGTTTAATATTTTACAGTCTTAAAGGAAAACAATCCACCACAATTGGGAAAATAATCTAGCATTGTGATTTATTGACCTGTCGGTCTAGTGCACATCATTTAAAACATAATTCTGTATTATGAATTATATTTTCCAACAAGAAGTTTTAGAAGAAATGTTAATGATAAATGCAAAGTTTTGATACCCTGATACATAATTAAGGTGGATGCCACATCCAATTACATCACTGGCTCCAAGTTATGAAAGAAAACCAATATGAGCTCAGTTGGCATTTCCAAATGACTGCAACTATTTTGGAAATGTTTTGTTAGAGCTGCTTTACAGCAGAATTCGGATTGCCTCATATTTGATGAAGTTTGCGTCACTGATTCTGTTTCTTTCCTGTTTAGTATTGTATAAAGCTCTATATAAACGTAGGTGACTTGGATTAAAGAGAAAATATTAATACAACTGTTTAACTCTATTGTCTGCTATTGTCTTCCCAAAAGGAAAGACATATTGTAAAGGAGCCGTCACATTAACAAAATTTTGCAGACAGAAAAGGTCTGTTAGATATGTTACAAATGATTTACAAATGTATTGTGCTACTATTTGATTAAAGAGGCCCATGATGCACATGAGAGACTACTAACACAGTTGATTCTTATAAAGTATAATGTTAGCATGTTGCTAAGCTCACAGGTCATATGACGTGGCCGTGTTTTTCAATGATATGTGTCAGTACTGAATTAATATACTTTGTATTTATAAGCTATACTTTGCAATTGACATTTCCTATTTGAAATGGAAATTTTAGTCAGTTCGTTCTAGGATTACCTGAATGATACATGCAGTCCTGCATTCTATTTGGAACAGCATTGGGATTCGTATTGGGGGTGAGCTTATAAATGTTGCAGATCACTAGGTTTTGGAACAGAGCAAATGTCTTTGTTTCCATTTTTATTTGAGAAGGCCACCATTGGATGAGAGAACTGGAATAGATGGTCCACAGGAGACTGTGTTCTGAAAAAGAAAGAAAAACAATAAATGGATGACAAATTTCAGCAAGTCACCTTCACATAATCTGAAATAACAGTGAAGCTCTAATATAATAATATGAGAGCTATAACAGCAGAGCACAGAAGTAATATATTTGCTATGTTAACAAGATATACGCAGTGGACTTTTGAAATGTTTTTTAGTCTAATATAAATTCATGTTGCAGTTCTACTTTGATCATGTTTACACACACACACACACACACACACACACACATACACATTTTATTATTTTATTTGGATCCACAAGACAAGCAACAAAAACGGAATCCAAATACCTTGGGAAGTCAGTTTGCAAGATGACAGGTACACATGGCTAACATACATTCACAAGTCCTTATATTTATAACATTCAACACTCAAGGATAGACAAAACATCTTCGTTTTCATATTTGCATACTCCCTATAGTGGCTGAAACTGAACAAAATTTGCTTTCACACAGACACACACACACACACACACACACACACACACACACTTTAGGCACATGGAACACTATTTTATCTTACACTTGGGACACAAATATACAATTTATTTATACTTATTCAAAGTTCTCCAGCTATTTTTTGTATATTAGTATACCTTGCAGACCAATGGCTCACTCACAATTACATTTGTTTTTCTAAAGTATAAAGGTAAACAGATAAATTAATTTGAAGTTCAATTTGATTGGGATTAAAGTTTTTTTTTTTTTTTTACCTTGTAATTACTATTTGTACCAGTTTGTCAGATTCAGGCCAATTTGTCTCATCCAACATTATTTACTTACTTATTTATTGACTTTATTATTATTAGATTTTTTTTTGAGGAGCCACTGCCTGTCTTTTCTCTTCAGGCCAATGCCTTCTGTTTACAATTCAAAAGCTTGAATTGTCAGCTTTATTTTCAGTTTTATTTATTTATTTGTTTGTTTGTTTGATGTTTTTGAAAGAAGTACTTTATGTTGACCGAGACTGCATTTATTTGATCAAAAATATAATGAAATGTGACAATTTAAAATAACTGTTTTCTATTTGAATATATTTTCATACATAATTTATTTCTGTGATGTAAAGCTGAATTTTCAGCATCATTACTCCAGTCTTCAGTGTCGCATGATCCTTCAGAAATCATTCTAATCTGCTGATTTGCTGATCAAGAAACATTTCTTATAGTGCTGTCAAATGATTAATCGCAATTATCAATCATTAATATTAATAATCGCATTCAAAATAAAAGTTTTTGTTTACATAACATATGTGTGTGTACTGTGTATATTTATTATGTATATATAAATACACAAACATGCATGTATACATTTAAGAAAAATATGTTATGTTTACATATTAAATATATTTATAAATAATATACATTTTGTGAATATACATATATGCATGTAAATACATGTAAATATTTTCTAAACATGCATGTGTGTGTATTTATATATACATAATAAATATACACAGTACACACACATATATTATGTAAACAAAAAACTATCATTTTGGATGCGATTAATCGCGATTAATCGTTTGACAGCACTAATTTCTTATCATCATCAATGTGGAAACTGTGATACATTTTATACTAGATTATTTGTATTATGTGATACAAGATTTTTTGATGAATGAAACAGAATTCAAAATAAATCTTTTGTAACATTTTAAATGTTTTTTACTGTCACTTTTTATCAATTTAATGTGTCCTTTTTTTCAACAAAACAAACAAAACAAATCCAAAACTTTTGAATGGTAGTGTAAACGTATAAAAATGCATCATTCTGGGTACTTACAGACACACATTCGAATGCACATGCCACACATGGCAATCACGTTGGCGATGCTAAGAGCTCGACCGCACTCTGGACTCATCAGACAGTTCTTGGTGCTAATGCAGCACCTGCAGCAGCAGCCCTGCCTGTTATCAGCAGAGCGGCTCTGACTAGTATTGCTCGTGTGCTGCTGGGTAATAACTTCTTCATAAGACGGTGGTGGTTTCTTGTAATCCTCCTCCATGGCTAGTCTCCTGGATCAGGCCTGAGGGAGGATGAGACAGTTATGCAGTGACTCACGGATGCAGAGAATCAATCGATTGTAATTATGTTCCAATATCTGACAACAGCCTTTCATTGTCATTAACTGATATGGAAATAAATCAATGCTCTATGGATCACGTAAGCTTTATCTGAACTCTGTTGACATGAAGAATGCACGTGTTGGAATGTCGTTTTGAACCTTCAATGACAAGTAGCTAATAAAGAGACATTTTTTTTGTTTTGTTTTTTACATTTGGCAAACGGTGATGACTTAAACAGGTGCAACGAGTGACGTAGTTGTGAGATGAATGAGTCTGTACTAAGCTCAACCCTTCTATAGCTGAGTTCAAGGGCGAAATGGCAGCAAAATCATTCAAAACAAGCACTGAGTTCCTCCTAGTCATCTATTCCTCTTTCACAGACTCACATCTTAAAGCTCCTAAAGAAGTAGAACAGAGGAGGCTTTTATTACACCAAACTTTTCACACCAAAAATTCAGTTCCAATCAAATAATTTACCCAAAGACAAGGCTGCAGGCGTTGGATATGTTTCAGATTACCCAAATTACCAGAGAACTGCCATTTCAATTCAGTGTACCTTTGTCAAGTGCCTTCAGATGTGTAGAGTCTTCTTTTTTCTTTTTTCTTCTTCAGTCCCACTTCTGTTTTTTTTTTCATGAAACTGAGAAGAAATTAAAATCCTCAATCACTGCACTGCCACAAAAAGGAGAAAAGAGCACAGAAATGACATTCTCTGCTTCTCAGACGATCTCGTTTACCCCTTTTGTATCTCCTGTCCTCTTTTCACCTTTTAAAAGTCACCGTAAAAAGCCAATTTCAATAAGTTCAGTCAGATGTACCCAAGTTGTCTTTCTCGTGATGTTGACAGGGCTGATCTGATGTATGCCTGGGTGGACTCCCAAATATAAATACTGTACCTCTGTGACGGTGAGTTTCAGGGCGTGCAAATCAAGTTTTTCCTGTCTGTCCTCTTGAGAGTCAGTCATTCTGGAGCATACCACGTCAAGCAAAGCCTTTTTTATTTTGCGTGATTGAACAAGTGTTGTTACTTTTGAATAGATCCTCTAGATACATTTAACAGATGACACTTGTATAGTTCACAGAATCAGTTGTATTTGGTGCTTCAATATGTACAGTAGTGTGCAGTACAGTGCATACATAATATATCATGGGCTGAATTATAGAGGTAGCAAATGATCTACAAATACACTTTAAATGCACTTCATTCATGTTTTTCAGATTCTTGCTGTTCAGAGAATGGCCTCATGAAGTAAGAATCAGGTCTCCATCCATCCAACCCATCAGTTTCCATTACGTTCATCAGGTGATCTAAATCACCTGGCCTTCTTCCAAATGAGAACCTATAGGCCTAAAAATAAAATAAAACATAATAAAAACATGACTTTAAATCTCGGTAATTCTTTTATATATAGACATGTCAACTTAAAAAATCCTGGGTTATTTTTTTAACCCAAATGCTGGGTTGAGCCTTTTGGGTCATTTTTTCTGGGTTATTGTTTCAGTGTTTGGGTAGTTTTTGTGTTACCCAGCTCCTGGGTCAAATGTAACAACCCAGTGTTTGGGTTGTTTTGCAGCTCCTGAGTCAGACATTACCCAATGTTTGGGTAGTTTTTGTGTTACTCAGATCCTGGGTCAGACGTAACCCAGCGGTTGAGTTATTTATTTTGCGTCTTCTCTTCACGAGAGAGCAGTTCTAAGCGCCATCGAATTGATGCATTCTTCGGTAAAATACAGGTTTGTGTACATTTTATCTATAAAATCGTTACTGTGCTGTATATCGTTCAATTTTATGCAGAGCAACATACAGGCACGCGGTGTGACTCACCTTTAATGAGTGTCTGCGGTCTTTTCGCGTGATGGAAAAGCCTGGTGCTTTGCATAAAATAAACTATTTTATTCATAAACATACAGAATATAATACTTTGGATGTTAAAGCATGTCCTCAGAGCTGTTTATTGTTTGTTTATTGGCAGGTTATGGAGTCACAGCATGTTTCGGCTAGAATGAAACACACCCAAATTGGGTTGTTTTTAACCCAGTGTTTTGTAGAGTGTAGAGTATTAGTAGACTGTTAGTTTAGGGTTAGAAGAATAAGTTGACATGCACTTGCAAATTTACTTATAGAATGTCTAAAGTGGACTATCAAAATAATCGTTACCAAATTTACAATATATTCACTTTTAAAGATACTTTCAAATAATATACCAGTTAAAATTGTAATCAATTACTTTGCTTTTGCTTTAGTATGTTGGGAAACACATCAAAATAAGCGTACATCTTTAAAGTAAGACAAAACATTATTAAAACAATGATTTAAAAATGTGCTTTAAAGTCAAAAGGACACTTCATGAAATCATACTCTTTGAAATCATAAGTACACTCATGTGGCTTTTATTTAATTGATTTATGTTATCTGCAAGTACAGTTTTCATGTACAGTACAAGTGCACGTTCAATAAGCGCATTTCTTCTTCACACGGATGATAATGTAAATGCAAATAATGTAAAGTGTTACCAATAGCTTGGTTTCATGGAATATGTTATCAAATTCTAACATTGGAGCCACAGCAATGTACTAGTTAGTATGATCATGGTGGACCTAGCACATGTACACAACTCATTTGTTACTCCACCTACCTTCTCTTGGTTTCTGTGTAGATCTGGGCTGCTGGGTGGTCAGAACGGCAGTGCAGGAGTCGGCAATCCTGGTGCACGTGAAACACAGAGTGTAGCGGCAGTCGTCCGAGCAGATGAGACAGCAGCCGTCCAGACAGAACTGACAGCACAGGTTACAGCAGCGGTCCACACAGGGCTCGTCCTGGTGACAGTTGTCCCCACAGCTTTCCCTGCACTCAGGACAAGGGCCGGACAATCCACAGCAGCTTTGTCCCATGTCTGCTTGACTTAAACAGTCTCTGCTGATCACAGCAGCCCTCTGACCAAAGAGAATCCCAGATCCCAGACACATAATAAGTGCGTTTATGAGTGCGTCATTAGGGGACTGTGTGAAAACGCCAATTTGTCTGCTCATTTGAACTTTCCATGAGCTGAAGAAAGGGATGACAGGCTGTTTGTTAACAGTGAGCTTATAAGCCCCAGGGTGGCCCGGGCTGCTCCTCTTTCTGTGCTGAGTCAATTATTAGACAGTGTCCCGTGATTAGCAGCTCAACAGAGAAGAGTGTTGAGTCTGTCTCCCCTCAGGACGACTGTGGATTGGCTTGCAAAACAGTTGCTTGGGAACTCTGTTCTGTGTGCTTGCGTAAATGCATTAGCTAAATGTCCGAATTTTAACAAATGTAGCATAATAACCCACAAGAGACGTCACATTTGAACCAGTCTATATGGGCCACTTTATCTAATAACAAGCAAGCCTGCGATAATGAGGACTTGGGGGACATTTATTCATCTTAGGCACAGAACAATGTCAGCAAAATGTATGGGGCACGGGACATTTTCTAGTCCCGACTGCACATTTTATGTCTATGTAAACTATGTTGACTCGTTGTTGTTTTAAGTTGGGGTTAATGACTTTTTTTGGTGTGTGAAATGATAACAATGAAACCTCGAATACTACAATTTTCTGTATTTGCCAAGGTTTAGAATGATCAGCTTTCTTAATACATTCATTAGGATTCTAAATTACTTAATCATTAAATTAATACACAATCATTACAGACTTTTTTTGCATTTCTTTAATATATTGAATATTTAGCTGCCACATTTTAAACAGAGCCATAGAGAATATTTTTTACACTGAAAAGCAAGTAACTACCACATATAAAAGATGGTAAACAAATAATTTATCAAAGGATGAGAGGCGACTTATGTTGCATTCATTCTCATGTCAGCCCCACATTAGTAGATTCTGTTTTTTTTCTTCAAAGACAAAAATGTATTTTGACACAATATAACTGTGGAACATCAAGATCAGAACTACCATTGTGAAAAAGAAGAACACTTTTAGCATACTTTTAAAAAGAGTATGGAAATAATATACTTCAAAAGAATATACTTAAAAAATGTGAACTGAATGTCATGTTTTCAGACAATTAAATGAAAATGTATTATAGTTTAAGTTTATATTAAATGCAACTAATTGAACTTAAGAGTATGTTTTTGACGTACTTTAAAAGTAATTTTACAATTACTTCTGTTGTATTTGAAATATGATTAAAGTGAACTGCTGAATAAATTTATGATAATTTATATTGAAACATGCCGGCCCAAGGCATAAGCGAACTAAGCGGCTGCTTAGGGCCCCCCTGACCACCAGGGGGCCCCCAAGAGTACATGAAATGACAGCTTGATTTTGTTTATTTTTTAATTTATATATATATATATATATTCTTTTTTCCTCTTTTTTTTCTTTGTCCTTTGATTAATAGACATCACAGCAGCTGGTTATTAGGTTGCTTTGGCTGCTATTTCTTTAAGAGCTGCCGCTGCTGAACGTGACGCGGACTGACACGCATCATATTTTCTCATATACAATATTCTCATATTCATATTTTTTCATATACCACTCTTTTTACCTTTTCTGACCCACTTCAGGTCTTAAAGTCTCTATTAATGAGCTGACGAGGTGTGTTAGATGGGTGAGACAGTGCTGGGCTGCTCCAGTAAAGTTTTGAAAACCATTTCAGAGACATGTTTTTAAATGTGACTCATATAAAATATATTACATGCATGCACAGTTTTAAGGCAGCTTTAATGATTACAGTGTTATTAAACTTTAGACATTCAAATGTTTGTAAGCAACTGAAAAAAGCACAAATGTCAGGGCATGTCAAAACTTTTCCAGGGCCCCAAAACACCCTCAGACCCCAGAGGGTTAAACTGGAAGTAGCTGGTTTTAGCTGGTTGTTCCAGCTGGTCTCTCAGCCTGACCAGCTAAATAAGTGGCCAAAACCCCTCTAAAACAAGCCTGCTGACCAGCTAAAACCAGCTAACCAGCTTAAGCGGTAATTTTTTTTAGCAGGGTTGGCGCTTTCCATGGAAATCAGTGTATTTAACAAACTATAAATGTCTTTTTTGCTAGTACTTAATTGAAATGTTTATTTAAATGTCTGAAACCTAAAATAAAGTTTATGTGGTTGAAAACACTGAACAGTTCTGATATAAAGCACTGAGCGCTTCTGTCTCTGGCTCAGTGCCAGCCAAAGTGTGGTGCATCAGAGGGTTAAAATTGATTATAATATAATATTTTACTTAGCTAGTTTTAGATTAAAGTTTGTGTCATCTGTGTAACACTTTCCTGGGTATATATTTTTTAATAATGTTTAAACTTCTGTTTCATAAACTTGGTATTTACCTTAGGTTATAGGGACTTTGCTATTATATTTTAATATCATTATGCCTCAGTTAGCTAGTTATAGATTAAGAGTTGTTGTTTTAGATGTAGCCTACATATGACTTCCTTCTGTGTTTGATAATTTATGTTGTTAAATTAACATTTTGTTCCATAAATGCATTGTCTGCTGGTTTATTTAGCTACTTTTCAGTACATCACATTAATTATGCCACTTAGCACTGTATGGCTTTGAATGTTAAAGTGCAAATTAACACATGACCACTCTTGTGGGTTTGCTACTGTTACAATTAAAAATCATAGAAGGGTAAAAACATGCCAGGCAGACATTGGTATGATGTATGTAACCCCACAACAAATAAAATCGATAATGGGTGTGCTAGATTTATAGTGTGCGAATAATCAAGCATTGACAATAATCAGGCATCTTGGCAGCACCCCCCAATAAGTTAGTCAACATAAAAATTGGTCTACTTCTTTAAAACAAGACAAGATTATTAAAACACGATTTAAAATGGTTAAAATTATTTAAAACGTTTAAAGTAAAACTTTTAATT